ACTGGGCGAGGAGGAAGCGGTCACTGCGGCTCAGTAGCCCTGCGACTGGTAGCCCTGGGGCTCAGTGTCGAAGGCGTTGGCTGGCTGCTGGTAGGTGCCACCCATGCCGGTGGGATCGGGCCCGGCGCTGGGCTCCACGTAGGGGGCGTAAGGCATGCTGGAGTCCTGGCTGGGGTCCATGTAGTCCTGGGAGAAGAGGGCCGAGTCGGCGCCGATCTGGTACCGCTGGAAGGCCAGCACAGCCTGGCCTGCCTGGGGACGAGGGCCGGGGGGACGAGGACAGGTGGGAGGGGATGGTTAGGGGAGAGACAGACGAGAGCACCGGGTTAGTGGCGGTTAGTTCACCAGACACAGGCAACAGAGGGTTAAATATCCTAAAGCACCAAAGACAAACCAAGGTGGCCGATGGGCGATGGGCGGAAAGCTGTCCTTGCAGCAGCCCTGGAGAGGCCCACAACCACATCCTCCAGAACTTGAGAGGTCACCTACCCTGTATCCCCCAAACCCAGAGGTCGCTCTGGGCCACCAACAATTCTAGCCTCCACTGCGGAGTGTTAAAATGGCCCAAAGGCCCACACTTCCTTCTCAGGGCAGTTATGCGGGATGGGGAAAAGGAAGTTTCCAGGTGGGACAGAGAACTGTTGCCGTCTCCTAAAGGCGTCCGCCTCTCTTGCAGCAAATAAGTTCTGGCTAATAGATCACCCCAAGTTCTTTGCTCACCCTTGACCTGATACCTGGAATGCAGATGTGATGGCTGGAGCGCTAGTTGCTAAAATGGACCATGAGGTCCAGGAGCCAAGTTGTCGGGATGAAAGAGGCCTGGGTCACTAAAGGCTTCTGGAGCCACTGTGCCAGCCTCGGACTGTCTTCCCAGACCTGGGCTTCGTTTAAACCACTGTTGTTTGCTGCTGAACCTAATTCTAATGGAAACCACTTGGTCCGATGAGTTTGGGAAACGGAGTTAAACAGTAAGTTTCAGGAGCACAGGGCTTGTCGGAGCCTTGGCCATTTAATGTTCGCTGGGTCCCCAAGGGGGAAGCCACAGCCACATTCACCACCTGATATGAGCACTGAAGCCCTTTGTTTTCAGTTGGGAAAAACTTGTCTCCCGCATCCGTGCATAGGTGGGAAATTCTTTTTCAGTAAAAGCAACTATATTGTTATTAAGGACCATGACATTGACCACACCAAGCCAGGGAGGAAGTGAAATGTCCCTATAAAAGTAGTTTACAGGGTTACATTGAGCGCTCTCCACAGTCTCTCCAGCCAGGTAACCTGCCTGTGATGGGAACCCTACACCCCCATTTTTGAGCTGGGAAGACTGAGGCCTAGAGAAGGGAGGCCTCAAGGCAGAGTTAGTGCCAGAACACATGCTTGAGCACAGGCCTTCCCAGGCCACACCTCCTTCCCTTGATCAGCCCCCCGACAAAGCACCCAATCAACCAGGAACCCCAAAGGGCCATGAGGTCTGACGCAGGTGCTTGGTGTTTAATTCCAGAAAGTTCCAGAAGCCCAGTGACTAGGCATTAACTTCCGATCTGTGTCAGTGGAGGAAGCTCCGAGGGGCAGCCCTTCCTGGGAAGTGGCTGTTTAAAGCCAAGAGCCGGGGGCCTGGGAAAGGCCGGCCTGAAGGAGCTGGCTGAGGAAAGCTGGGGGCCCCGCTGTATTTTCTATGTTGTATGAGGTCCTGGCTGCTGGCAGCTCACACGCAGGAGCCCGGAGAAGCAGGGAGGGGGGCAGCCCCCTGCGGTGGCGCCTGGCCTTCAGCGCCCTGAGTCATCGGCAAGCTCGCAGGAGCACGTGGGGAAGGGATGAATGAGTCCCTCAGAGACACATCTGCAGACCTGGTTCTCCCGGGGCCCCTGGCTCCCCGTCCAGGCTGGTTTCCTGCAGGGAGACAGAGGGCTGGAGCAACGACCTCTGCGGATCCTTCCAGGGCGGCCTCTGACCACAGGCACCTCGTGCCAACTGTGGACACTCCCCTGCCCTCCCTGAGCCGAGGCTCCCTTAGCATCCAGCTCAAGGGGCCACAGGCAGGAGCAAAGGAGCCACGTGGGCCCCTGCTGGACTGGGTTGCGGAGGGGGGGCTGGGAGTTCTGCTCAGAGCCCAGGAACCCGGTGTCCACGTGTCCTGCTTCTGCAGGTCAGGCGCACTGTTGAGCCTCCACTGTGCCTTCAGCAGCCTGCCCTTGGATGCCTTCAGTGTCAGGAGGCTCACGCTGTGTGCTCTGCTCTGGGGCCTGCTTGCGCTCCATCACCTCCTCAACTCCTGCAGAGAGTGGAGGGACAGGGGGGTGCCTGCCCAGGCACCCGAGGGCCCCAAGGAGGGAACCTGTGCAGAACTGGAGGCCAAAGTCCTTCAGCAGAACAAGGATTCGCCACATGAGAATCACCCCGAAGTCAAGATTGTGGACGTGTCCCTGACTCCTTGGACAGAATGAGTGAATAAATGAATGAGTAAATGACTGAGTGAGTAAATGAATGAGGGAACAAATGAAAGAACAAAAGAGCCTACATTTATTGAGCATCTCTGTGCCAGCCTTTGTTTCATCCATACAATGGCCCTGAGAGATTGGTCCACTATCACTCCTCAGTCCAGGGAATTAGACTGAGGCTCAGAGAGGTGCAGGGGTTTGCCCAGGGTCACACAGCACATGAGAGCAGAGTCAGGACTGGAGTCCTCTGATGTCCTCAGCCAGGCCTCCCTTGGCCGCCAGCCTCCACTGGGACTGGAAGACCAGCCTTCATGCCACAGCCGTGGCACAGGCCCTCACACTGTCCACGGCTCAGCACCCTGGCAGCCCACATAGGGAGCCACCTCCCACCCTCTAACAGCCCATGGCAGTCCATTGAGGGAGATTTCGGTTTGGCGGTCTCCCCTTCCCTGCACATGGGCTCCTGGGGCCAGGGACCCCATCTGATCCATCACTAGGCACAAAACAGCTGCTCAATAAATGTTTACTGAATGAATGAACACATGAAGGGTAAACAAAAGAGGTAACGGAAAAGTGGCCGGTCTTAACTGGCCTCTCGAGCCAGCCCTCCACTGCCCTGGATGCCCAGGCATCCTGGCCGTTGCAGGCAGTAGGCTGCCAGGGGGCGGGACACAGGGCTCCCTGCCTCGGGACACCGGGCAGGCCTACGGCTGTGCCGAGCTGGGAAACAGCGTGTTGTATTCCTCCTGGAAGGTAAGGTCCTTGAATCTCCGCACGGCCAGGGCTGCGCTCAGGCTCTGCCAGGAGAGAGCAGGGGTGAGGCCAGCAGGGAGGCCGGCTTCAGTGGGCCGGCGGGTACCTATCGCCCTCCTCTGAAAGTTCAGTGTCCAATTACCCACTCCTCTGGGAGCGCCCTCTCATCTCAGGGCTTGCTGCTCCCTAACTCTTCCCTGTGGGCCGGACGGCCCCGCTTCCAGGGGACCTCCTCTGGTCTGAATACCCAGGGTCTCCGGGTTTCCCTCCCAGCCTTAAGGACACAGAGGTCTGGAGTGACCATAGCTGGCCTGCTGGGGCCAGAACCACAGGTCTCCTCTTGCAAACTCTAGCTCCCAATATGGTATCAGGGCGAGGGTCCCATGAGAAATGGACATCCAGGGGCCTCCACAAGAGACAGAAGTCGCCCCAGGGCAGGCCCAGGAGGGTGCGGCATGGGGGCTCCTCCCTGCAGAAGGCTCGGCCAAGGGCTGCTCAAAGGCCTGGGGAGAGGGGACCCTTGGGGTGAGAACGATGCGACCCAGGCATCTGCAGGAGAGGAGGGGAGGGATACACTGAGGTGACCTGGAGCCTCATTCCAGGGCGGTCTTGCTGACTCGCTGGTGGCGCTCAAGAAAACTGGGCTCAGAGCCCTGACCCACACGTTTTCTCACTAGTAACTCGAATACATTGCCAACACACAAACAGCAGATTCACACAGAAACTCAGACTTCTGGCTTCTCCGGAACACGGAAGACCTGGGCTCCGTAGGGCCTCATTCCTGCCTCAGGACAGGCCGAGGAGAGGGTGCCCTGCAGGTCAGGCATGGACATGCTGCCTGGCCCGCCAGCGGGGCACCTGAGTTTGTGATGCCCTTCCCCCAATCTAACCTCCCGATTTTACAGATGGGAAGACAGAGGCCCGGAAAATTAGAGGCAGCTCCAGGGTGTGACCCAGGTCTCCTGCCTCCTAGGCCTGGGCTCCTTCCCAGCCTAAAGCCTCGGAGCCTCATCTTGCCGTGAAGCCTCAGCGTTGTCGCCTGTTACCGAGGAGAGAGAATACCCACCCAGCTACCGTGGTGGGCGCTCTGCACCAAGCCAGGGCCTGCCATCACCCCGTGACTGTCCTCTCTGGCAATGGGGGCAGTCTCCTTCCTCGGGGGCAGCCCCGCCGGGCGGAGGGCAGAGCAGGATGGAGCCCCTGCTGTGCTGGCAGGCCGCAGGCCGCAGCCCAGAGCCTGGCTGGGCAGGTGGTTACTCACCCACGTGAAGATGGAGAAGAAGGAGAAGGCGATGGCGGCCCGGGCTGCGTCCGTCCCTTCGTTAAGTGGGTTGTCCTTGGGCTTGGAGACCTGCCACTGGTTGGCCAGGTAGCAGAAGCCCACGAACCAGAGGAAGGCCCAGAAGGCTGGGGTGTCCACCAGGGTCAGGCAGAACAGTCCACGCGTGGGGAGAGGGGGTAAGTTGGGAGGGAATGGGAAACGAAGGAACAGGGAGAGGTTCAAGAGCACATCTCCCAAACCCTCCCCCAACCCCCGAGGGGGGCAGAGAGGGGAGCACAGGGAAGGTGGGGCGAGGACAGAGAGGTCAGTCAGATGCAGCCGAGAGGTCACGGAAAGGATCCAGCAAAGGCCCAGGGAGAGCCAGAGCGGGGAGAGGGAGGGAGAGAGGGACGGAGGCCGGGAGGGAGGGACAGAGAGAGAGAACATCAATCAGCCTGGGCCGGCCTTTCTCTAACCTCAGCCAAGCACAGACTTCCCAGCTGTCCCTGACTGTCCCCCATCCGCCCCGCAGCCTGCAGCTTCCTGGGAGGAGCACCCCGACACCCCATCACCCCTGACTGCAGCCTCACAGAGATCTGAGCAGGGGGAAGGGGAGGGGGGCTAGGGCAAGGGTGTGGTGCAACCCCAGTGGGCCTGAGCCTCGACCTCTATAGCGATGGGCCTCTGGAGCCCAGACCCGCCCACAGGCACTGCTGGGGCACCCTGAGGCTCTGTGGGACACAGTTTGAGAACTATGAATTTTGTTCTAGTTCCTTCAGGTCTAAGGGCCCCCAGACCTTCCACCGGGCTCATCCTGAGTCCCAGGCCTGGAAATGGAGGGAGGTCCCTGCCAGACCTCAGACCATGGCCTTAGGCTAGTGAGGCTGATGTCTTTCTTACTGACTCTCAACCTAAGCCTCCACCAATCAGATTCTCCAAACTCGTGGGACGGAGGTCAGGGTACCTCTGTCAAGGCCGTTTCTGAAGGGCAAGTGCAGCAGGTCACCTAGACTGCCAGCTCCAGAGTCTGACCCTCCCAGGGCACCTACTGTGTGCCAGGGCCTTCAGGCACAGCGCTGTTTAGTTCTCAGGGGCCCACGAGGGCGGTGGCACTGAGTGGAGAGGGCGCCCCTGGATGCTGCAGTCCCTCCTCGCTGTGGAGCTGTGGTCACTGGGGTTGCAGGCCAGCACTATTTAGTTCTCAGGGGCCCACGAGGGCGGTGGCCACTGAGTGGAGATGGCGCCCCTGGATGCTGCAGTCCCTCCTCACTGTGGAGCTGTGGTCACTGGGGTTGCAGGCCAGCACTGGTCCCACGCTTCCTTGTGGCAGCCCTGTGACCCCCAAGCCTGTCCCTTCACCCGCCTGTTAGGTGTGCATGGGGATCAACGGGACCCGGGCAGGGACAGCCCTCCGCAGACTCTGGGGCGGGGGCTCACCCGAGACACCGATGTCCGACAGGACGGCTTTCTTGCGGTCCTTCACGCTGCTGATCTGCGGGAAGTAGACGTCCAGGGCCAGGTAGAGCAGGCAGGTGATGAAGGTGAGCACGCCCACGGTCACACCGTAGCTGCAGGCGTTGGGGTTGCGGTTGTAGATGCAGAACTCCTCACCCTCCAAGGGGGTGTTGAGGTAGCCCTCGTTCACGATGGAGCCGAACACCACGATGGAGAACACCTGAAGAGGGCGGGAGGGGCAGGGGAGGCATGAGACCCAGGCAGGCCCCACCCAGTACCAGCCCGGCGTTGGGGGGGAAGGGGTTGCCCACCAACACCTCTCAGCCTGATGCTGCCTTTCTTCACCCCAAAAAGCAGGCATTTCAGAGGGAGGCCCAGAGAGGGAGGGCAACTTACTTGGGGTCACACAGCACAGGGAAGGATCAACGGCTTCCATCCTCAACCCCAGATCTGAGGACCCGCTCACTGCAGATATGACCGCCCCCCCCACACCCCCCTATCCCGCCAGCCAGGTCCTGAGAAGGCCTCTTGCACCCTGACACCAAGGTTCCTCTAGGACTGGACCCGGCCTCCCAGAACCAGTGGTCTCATGTGCTCCTGGGCAGGGGACCTGCTCAGCCTCCAGCCCCATTTTGTGCACCCCTCCCCTCCACGGAGGCCTCAGGCCCCACCTGCCTGTCCTCGGTCCCACCCTTCCCTGTCGTCTAGGCCCTGACACGTGGAAGGAGTGATGGATGGAAAAATAATGATCCTGCCAATTACAGGGGAACCTGCACCACCATGAGTGAGTGACATGGGGTCCCTCACTTAACCCCCCAACAGGTCTCTTTCAGTCTGGCTGGCACCCAGCTAAGATGGCCCCAGGACCCCACTTCCTGGTATTTACACCCTGGACTGTGGGCTAGGCCAAGCGACTGCTACAGAATATGGCAAAAAGTGGTGGGATATCACTTCTGTGAGAAAGTTTCAGGCTCTGGCTCTTGGCCCCTCTTGCCTGCTCACTCTGATGGGAGCAGCTGCCATGTTTTGAGCTGCCTCATGGGAAGGCCTACCTGGTTAGGAACTGAGGGTCAACAGCCAGAAGGGCACGGAGCCTCTCAACCCAACAGCCCACAAAGAAGTGAGTCCTGCCAGCACCATGTGAGTGAACTTGCACATGGATCCACACTGGCCGTCAGATGAGCCCACAGTCCCCCGCTGTAGCCTGTGACAGACCTGAGGCAGCGGCACCTTGCTAAGCAGATACCCACCCACAGGAACTGTGAGATAACAAATGTTTGTTGTTTTAAGTCACTACAGTTTGGGGTAGTTTGTTACGCAGCAATAGCTAACTAATACAAAACCAGTGCCATTGGCATTTTGCAGATGAGGCAGTTAAGGTGCAGGTACTCGTGAATGTGCCCAGGATCACACAGTGATGTTTGGTCAGTGGCAGAGCTGGCTTCACACTCAGGGACCTGACTCTAAAGTTCATGCTTTTCCCTCCTGCCTCTTGCCTGCCCTGAGACTGTGAGGATGAGCAGGCCCCGACCCACGGTCACACATGCCAGAAGGCTGAGCCTCAGCCAGAGGGAGTTTTTATCATCCATTTCCCACTGCTCTTTGCTTTCCAATTGTTCTACAAAAAAACTATAATCCTATATAATAAAAGGCTAATATGCAAATCGACCAAACAGCAGAATGACCAGTCACTATGACGTGCACTGACCACCAGGGGGCAGACGCTCAACGCAGGAGCTTCCCCCTGGTGGTCAGCGCACTTCCACAGGGGGAGTGCTGCTCAGCCAGAATCCGGACTCATGCTGGTGAGCGCAGCAGCAGTGGTGGGAGCCTCTCCCACCTCCATGCAACACTAAGGATGTCCGACTGCGAGAGGGCACAGGCCGGGCTGAGGGGACACCCCCCCCCCCCAGGGCACGAATTTCATGCACAGGGGCCTCTAGTTTCAATATAAGCCAGACATATTTTCATACTCAGCTGACACCTAGGATGGCTAGTGACTCCAAGGCAGGTGTGGGGAAAAATATGAGAAGCAGTATTATTTTATTTATCTTTTTAAGGTGTCTACACTTTACATGGGTTTTATAATGTGCTGGATACATGGGCATAGTAGTAATATATATAAAACAAATACGTCTAGGTTGAATGGGAGGATTGATTTGAAAATGTTTCCTGAAGGAGTGTAGGACACCACTGGTTCATGACTCTCTGTGTTCAGAAGGATTCTGACCCAAATGTCCAGTGGATGAATGGAGAAGCAAGTGATAGCCTATCCATACAAGGGAGTATTATTCAGCCACAGAGAGGACCACAGTTCTGATATATGCCACAGACAGATAACCTTAAAACAAGTGGAAAACGAAAAAAGCCAGACACAGAAAGTCGATATATGATTTCTTTTACATTCTATATCTGTAATAGAGATGGAAAGCGAACTAGAAGTTCCCAGGGTATGGGGGGGGGGGGGAATGATTATTTAGTGGGTACAGAGCATTTTATGGGATGATGAAAAAGCTTTGAAACTAGAGAGAGATGGTGGTTACTGTAAATGCACTAAATGAACTGTATACTTTAAATTGTTTATTGTATGTTATGTGAGTTTTTATGCAACTAAAAAAAAAAAAAAAAAGAAAGGATTATGGGGCTGTGTCCTGGTCCGCCACGGGCACAGGTCGGCCAGTCCTGACTGGGAAGGGACACACACCCAGTCAGTCCTTCAGACCGGGCAGTCCTGGCTCACAGCTCCACCTGTCACAGGGTCTGCGTCTTCACAATCGTGAACCAGAGAGGGCGACTGTACTGCCCTGACTTACAGACTAAAACACTGAGGTTCAGGAAGAGGTGACCCTGCTGCTAGCAGTGCAGGCTGAACCTGAACCCAGGTCTCCTGACTCTCGATCCTGTGCTTTTGTCCACCTGACCAAGTGTTGGGGTCCAGCCCCGGCGGGTCCATGGGTTCCCAAAGGTGTGGACGGAGTCGGCGAAGAATGAATAACACGGAGACTGCGTTCAGTTGGTCAGCAGCCTACCCAGGTTCTCTAGCCGGGATCTCCAGCCAAGTTCTGTCTTTATTGTCTTGTTACATCTGTATTTATACCAGTTGATTTTAATCCTATCCATTCTATTCCAAAGGTTGGGGCGTTTGTTAATCTAGTTCTGTTGAGTTTAATCCCGTCTAGGTTAATCTCTGTGTTCCATTATAAGGGCTATTCCAAGGTCACTGCTCTACTGATAAGCTACAAGGAAGTGACTGAAAGAGATCATCCTACCCAGTAAAGGTTATGTAGCTTAAGCGTGATTGTTCATAGTTAAAGTGATTAATTACCCGCCTGGCACTTAGTTAAGGGGTTTTATTCCCTCCCTAACTCCAGGGAAAAATCCCCACCTGGGGAAACAACCTTTCTCGGAGAGGTGACCTTGGTTAAAACACATAGCGCTAAGAAGGGGAGCAAACATATTAAGAACAGTATGCCATATACGCCAGGTCCCTTGAAACATAAGCTATGCAGATGTTTCTTCCCTGCAGTGACTGTGTCAAGCAGCAAGGATGGACTGGCTTCCGACAACCAAGCTGACTCTCAGCTGCAGGAGGCAGGTCCAGAGGACGGAGTGGTCTTCCCTGAGACCTGAGGGTCAGCAAGAAAGTATCAGTGTGACTGGATCCGCAGTGAGTGTGACTGGATCGGGCAGTGAGTGTGACTGGATCAGACAGTGTGACTGGATCAGGCAGTGTGACTGGGTCAGGCAGTGTGACTGGAGGCCAAGTCTGGTGCTGGGGCACAAGAGGAATGCTGACTTCAAAGCACTTCCTGACAGGCACACTCCCTGCGGCTGCTGCCAGAGGTGGGGACAGGGTGGATCCCCTCCCACGAGCAGACCAGAGGAGGTGGGAGGGGAAGCAAGAGGGTGCAAGTCCCTGTGGGGACAGCAGAGGAGGGACATTAGAATGGGCCCCTTTGGGGGAGAGAAGCAGGGAGTCCTGGGAGAAACCAGGAGGAAAGTGCGGAGACCATGTGTCCCAAGAGGGTAAGGAGCAGGATCAAAACACCCTCCGAGGGAGGGCAGGGCCCGGGCAGGGCGGAGGGAGGAGGGAAGGAGGAGGTGACACTCAGCTCCCTGCTGCCTGCCCCCAGGCGGAGGAGGGAGGTGCTCAGGGGATGGAGCAGAGCCTGAAGCGGTGATTTCTGAGCTGAGCTGAGAAGCCAGCCCTGCCAAGGTTAGGGGAACGCGTGTTTCAGGCAGAAGAACAGAAAGGGCAAAGGCTGGACATGGGAGAAGGAGCGTGGCCGGAGTGTGGCCAGGGAGCTGGGACTAGAGAGGTACAAAAGGGAGGAGGGACAGGCCTGGTGGGCCACAGTGGGGACGCTGAATTTAAATGCAGTGAGAAGTCACAAGGGGTGACAAGGTCTCGCTCTGTGGATGGTGGATCCCTACCCCCTGGAGCACAAAGGTCACTTAAGTGGCTCCCCACTGCCTTCTGGATACAATCCAAGCTTCTAGGTGGGTGGTCCAGGCCTCACTCCCTACGCTTCCCACCAAACACCTGCTCCCCCACCTTCTCACGGCCCAGTGGCCCTGTTCACTCTCTGGAAGCCGGTTCCCACCCACAGGTCCTGAGCTGTAACTGGCTTTTCTTTCCTTTTTTAAAAAAATATATTTTTATTGATTTCAGAGAGGAAGGGAGAGCAAGAGAGAGAAATATCAATGATGAGAGAGTATCATTGATCGGCTGCCTCCTGCATGGCCCCTACTGAGGATCAAGCTCACAACCCGGGCATGTGTCTTTGACTGGACTCAAACCCAGGACCCTTCAGTCCACAGGCCGAGGCTCTATCCACTGAGCCACACCAGCCAGGACTGTAACTAAGTTTTCTATGTTCCTGGAGGTGGAGTGAGCTGCCAAGTGGCCCCTCTGCTGGGCATGTGCTGTCGGGCCTGACTGCTCTGCACCTAGAGGGCCCCCTGCATCGCGACCTGGGAGGTCTTACCCTGGAGGCCAGAGAGTTGGGGTTGCCACCGGTTGTTCATTCCTTCAACAGTGTTTCCTGAGCACCTGGTACGTGCCAGGGCCTGTGGGAGAGGCTGAGAAGGTGGCCAGGTCCCTGTTCTCACCAAGGGAGACAAATGCTAAGCTGACAAACATGTAGATAAGTCCTGACAAGTATCCGCATAAAGTGGGGCAAGAGGAGACGCACTAGGTGACTGGGGGGCGGGGCTCTGAGGAGGTGACCTTTGAGTAGAAGAGCAATATTTCAAGAAGTTAACGACAAGTGCAAAGGCCCTGGGGCACAAATAGGCTTGGTGGGTTGAGGAGGCGCATGGAGGCCAGTGTAGCTGGAGCACAGTCAGTGAGGTGAGGTG